CCCTCCTCCCCCCCTTTCACCTTCCCCCCTGCCCCTCCTCCCCTCTCCCTCCCTCCTCCTCCCCCCCTTTCTCCTTCCCCCCTGCCCCCTCTTCCTACTCCTCTCCCGCTCCTTCCCTCCTCCTCATTTCACCTCCCCCGCTTCCTTCTCCTTCCCCCCCCTTCCCCCTCCCCACCTTTGGTGAGGGGCGCGGCATGCAGGCGCTGGGGGCAGACCTTTTCCTGAGCCCCAAATAGGACACGCAGGACCCCAGGCTCTTGCGGGACAGCGGGGAGGGCCTCGACCGCTGCTCGGGACGGGCGCGTGTTCTAAGCCCTAATTCGAACGAAGGGCGTCCGCTCTGCTCGGACCTTGGGGAGTCTGGTTCCGCTGCGGGACCCTGCCCAGGCACTATGCAGGTTATTCACTGGCATGATTCCGGGGCTCTCAAAGCTCACCCCCACCCCTCCATACCTTCCCTCGAAAATGACCTTCTGTTCACACTGCACATATGTCTCATATATAACTTTTTTCCTATGTGGGCTCCCCCATTAGAATATAAGCTTCTTGAGGGCAGGGGCTGCTTCTCTTTGTACCCCCCCTTAGCATTTTCAGCCCGTAGTACAGGCGTTTAACAATAAAACTTGTTGACTGGTTGACATAGCCCTTCGTTTTGCAACTCTAATTATTAATAGCTATTTGACATTTCTAATGTCTTTTAGATGCATTATCTCATTTAGACATGCAATTATATGACACAGACATCACAGATATATTATTTTAGAACTGAGGAAACAGACTCAGGCTAAAATGATTATCCCACAGTCACCTGTCGCCTATGTATGAGAGGCAGGATTTGAATCAAAGTCCTCCAGACTCAGCTCCTCCATGAGTAAAAATGAAGTGATTTGCCTAAATGGTCTGGAAGATTCCTTCCAATTCTGAAGGTATAACCTTTCATGTGACATCACTTCTCCATGCAAGGTTGTCCTTCAGTCCTGTCTGACTCTTAGTGGCCCCCTTTGGGATTTTCTTGGCAAAGATACTGGAGTGGTTTGCCATTTCCTTCTCCAGCTCATTTGATAGATAAGGAAACTGAGACAGGGTTAAGTGACTTGCCCAGGGTCACACAGCTAGTAAGTGTTGGAAGCCACATTTGAACTCAGATCTTCCTGACTCAAGGCCCAGCTCAGTGCAAGGACATGATGCAAGATTATAAAGAATTATTTTTGTTTGTCTCCTAACCCTTCAAAGAAGTGCACATCTATCTAGACTCTTAATTACCCAAGCACCAAGCAGAGTGCTATATGGACAACAGGTCTCTAAATAAAATCTTGTTGAATCAAATTGAATCTTTGAAGAGATAAATACTTCTAGCCCCCCCCCCCCCAGAAAAGCCAGATTTTTTTTTAATGTAGCTAAGGAGCAAATGCTACAATTACCAAAGAAAATGGAAAGTTCACTCAGTGAGAACAGGAATGGCTGCAATTAAACCAAGATGGATCAAGATGACTCCAGAGTTTAGAAATCGAGTTTCTGTCAAGTATAAATAGAAAATAACTTGGAGACTACTACAAGCAAAAAGTATTTTCCATAAAACTAATATAGTTCCATTTAGTACTTATTTGGTATTAAATAACTCCCAGAAGGAAAAAGCCAAAGGAACTATTTATCAAATATGAGGTAGAAAATAAATCTGTGCCCCCATAAGGTGTAATGTAAGTAAACAAAAGTAGAACTTTAACAAAAAATAATAACATCAATTTGATTTTTTTTTTTTGCTAGGCAATGGGCTTAAGTGACTTGTCCAGGGTCACACAGCTAGCAAGTGTCAAGTGTTTGAGGTCAGATTTGAACTCAGGTCCTCCTGGCTCCAGGGCCGGTACTCTATCCACTCTTCCAGCTAGCTGCCCCATAGCATCAATTTGAAAAAACCTTTTGTATAACTACAATGAACAATTTAGTGCAACTCTACCATCCAATTCAGGAAAGACATCACCATTGATGTCACTGGTCCTCTCTGAAAACAAATGAGGAACGATAGTTGGTGTCCTCTAGGGTTCTGACCTGGGTTCTCTTCTCCCTCTACCTTACTTCACTTGCTGATCTCATCAACTCCCATGGATTTAATTACCATCTACTGCTGATGATTCTCAAATTTACCCGTCTGGCCCCAACTACCGTGGAGAGCAACACCATCCACTCAGTCCCTCAGGCTCCCACCCTGGGTGCCATCCTGGACAGTTTACTATCACCCATCCCACACCAATATCCAAGCTGTTGCCAAGGCCTGTCAATTCGACCTCTGCAACATCTCTCCAATCTCTGACACTGCCCCAACCCTGGTACAGGCCCTCATCATCTCACACCTGGACTAATGCAACAGCCTGGCCCAAGTCTCTCCTCACTCCAGTCCATCCATTACTCAGGGGCCAAAGTGATTTTCCCAAAGCCCAGGTCCTACCATGTCACTCCCCTACTCAATAAACTCCCACGGCTTCCTGTTGCCTCCTAGTTCAAGTGCAAACTCTTCTGTTTGGTGAACCAAGCCCTTCACAACCCACGCACACCCGCCACTTCCACCTTTCCAGTCTTCTTGTATCTTGCACTCAGCCCTCCCTCACTTATATCCCATTCAGTCACGTGCCAAGGCATCACCTCCCTAACATCGTCCTCTTCAAGGATGAAGGACAAACAACCACCACCCTGACATAGAGACTTCGATCTAGAGTCACTGGCTTCCTGGCTCTTCCATGTCTCTGCTCTGGGCATTTTCTCTGGCCTGAAAAGTCAGGAGTTGCTCCCCCCCATCTCTGCCTTTCAGCTTCCTTCATTCAAGTCCCAACTAAAATCCCAACAGGAAGCCTTTCCCAAACCTTGTTAATTCTAATGCATTCCCTCTGTTAATTATTTCCAATTTATCCTATATAGTTAGCTTTGGAAACGTTTGTTTGCTTGTCACTCCCATTAGACTATGAGCTCCTTGAGAGCAGGGACTGCCTTTTACCTCTATGTAGCTCTAGCATTTAGGTTTTCTCATGCCCGCTCTCATCCTTACTTGGGTTACTGATGTTTGGGTTCCTTGGGAGTCTGGCCTATATGCTTTATCTTTAGCAAACTTTTTCTCTAGCTGGAAGAAGATTTGGGTTGAATTCTTTCAGGCAGGGCTCGGCGCCGCGATCTTGGGGTTCCTCTGCACGTAGGAGCACCCCAAAATCTCTAGACCTCTTCAAGTAGGTGCTTAATAAATGCTTAGAGACATACTAATCTGAGGCCAGGAATGGGCCGAGGGAGAGGTAATCTCAATTTTGGTGACAATGACGGGGTTTCGTTCAGTTTCAGAAGCCGAGACCTTTGCCCCTTTTCCCTTTGCCCCTTTTCACCTAAAGGAATTTGCTTCCCATTTGTCGAAAACTCTTAAAGTTTTAGATTCCTTATAGACTCCCTTTATCTCTCTTTGAAAGCCTTAGCCTTACCTTTTAATCTTATTCAAACTCACCTTTGCCCCAGCTCTAAAAAAGAGACTGGCTTCCGTTTGTCTATGGGCCCCAGAAAACCCTTCAACTTTTCGGTTCTTTATCTACTCTCTTTATCTCCCTTTGAAAGCAAACTTCTACCTTCCAGTTCCCTTCGTTATCTGTCCCCATTGTCTGTTTAATGTCTCAGACCTTCCAAAGGGAATTCTCACCACCTCCCCACTTCCTCTGGCAACCCAAAATTACTTTAGTGTATATAAGATGGGAATGATGGGGTTGGAATCTGGGCCCCAGAAAGGAAAAACCCTGGACTTTCCCACATGGCCAAATCTCTGGCATTCCCCTGAGGCTATAGTCCCTTCAACTGGCCTTTCACTGTGGCTACACCCAATCTCTCCTTCATTGTTTTACCTCCTTACGTCCCCTGGCCATTTCCCACCCTTAATCCTAGCTAGGCGAAGTCCAGGTCCCAGGAGTTCTGTTCACCCCAGTTTACTAGCCACTCCCATCCGGGTCTCCTTAGGCCCTTCCTCCCTTCACCCCAAACTACTTGGCCACTCCTAGATCCCTCCCACAGTCTTTCTGTATATAAGGTCCATCTTGTCTCTATTAAGATGCTGAGAATCTCTCAAGCCTAGAGGCTGAGGTTTTCTCATGCCCGCTCTCATCCTTACTTGGGTTACTGATGTTTGGGTTCCTTGGGAGTCTGGCCTATATGCTTTATCTT